GGACCTGCCCCCCCGCTTCAAACCATAACATGCATGTATTCCACATAAAGGGGAAAATCTCTAGTCTTTTCCTTTCAGACTTACCTCAGTAAATCACATTATGTGGTATTAATCTCTATTACTGCTAAATTGGTTTGCAGTTAGCTGTATCTGTATTACTAGAGGATTGAAGTTAGCTCTGGGATCCTATAGTCACATCTGAAGTGCAGCCACCCCTGAGGTGTGGTGCAGGACACTACTGACCTGTTTCAGTGAAACCACAAAGTAGCTGCACATCTGAGAAACAGCATACTTTCAAAACCATGTGGAAATTCTTTTCTCACTAGGCTAAAATATTACTATATAAATTAGAATATTGCTACGTAAATTAGACTCAGACCAGGGACTCCTCTTAATATCACAGCAATATCTGTCAGAAAGAAGATGGAACAGAATCATCTGTGCAAAAAGAGAGGACAGTTTGAGATTGTCTTGTTGCCCCTGGCATTGGTCACATCCCCTGAGCTGTGTAGCTGTGAATCAGTGTTGCAGGTCTCCACAGCTAATCCTGGCCCAAATCTCAGACTTTTACCGTCTTAGAGGAAGATCTCAACCTCATTACTTTACTAAGTCTATATCCACAAAGATCAGGAACTTTCTAATATTCATTTCTTTTCCAGTTTGCGCTGACAGTCAGACAGTTTCAGAGGTGATTTTAGCAGGAGGATTAAAGTTTCAGCACTGTTTTTAAGCACAGACCAGCCTTTAATGTCAGTGAGGCTTGACGTGACTAGTTGCTGCAACTCCGGTTCTCTGCTGCCTCGCATCATCTTCAGTCATTTCAAATGAGTGACATAGAATAAATGGATAATGAACAAGAAGGCTATGAAAAGATGGATGAGACTGCCATTTAACACTAATTAAATAAATGGTGAGGTTTTTTGGTTTAATCTATCATTTAACAAATCACATTCCTAAAGGGCATCACATTATTTTAAAAAAAGTGAAAATGTTTATAATGTTAAATACTTTGATATCTTGAAAATATTCAGGCAGACAGACTTGCTGTCATGCATCAACTCTATTTTTACCAAGCCAAGTCAAGTTTGCATGCTTCAGGATAGGCTGTTTTCCAATTCAGGTTCCCTTTTTGAATACAAAAGTTGAGGAGAAAAACAGTGAGATTGGGATAAGATTTTAAATGGATTTCCTAAGTCAAAGAAAGAACATGAATCTGTTTGTACTTCTGTTCTCCAATCTGATTTGGCATGGACAACCAGAGAAAAGTTTTGCACATTTCATTTCGCTTCTTCCATCTTTTTTTGACCAGTTCATTCCTGAAAAGCAGCCACCCTTTATAAACTTATGAAGAGCCATTACCTAGCTGATCATCTTGGGGAAGGGGAGGTGGGGAATGTGAAAAAAAAAAGTGAAATATTATTTATCAAAGGCTAAAAACCTTTGCTGGTCTAATTCAATGGTGCTCAAGAGGCTTAGTTGGAAATGTGCTGATTTACATACCAGCACAGATTTTGGCACTACATTTCTGACAAGAAAAACATAGGGGAGCTGTTAGTTGAGTATTTTCATCAATGTTTATTTAGAATCTTCCTTTTGATAGTCTGAATAAATATTTACGTTGATTTTTTTTGTGAATAAGGTAAAAGACTTTAAATGACCAGTGTATCTGCTATTACAAAGAGGAGATGGGGGCTAACAGGTAATAGTCACACAATAATGTTCCTTTCAATGTGCATTTCTGTTGGCTTTCTTTGGTGAAAATCTTAATAAACCCCCAAATGTTTTACATTAACCCTGATCTGTCTTCAGTTCTGCACATGCAAACAGTTGAAATACATGTTTTACCTCTCTATTTCAGCGTATAATTGTGTTTTCAGGGCATATCACTGACTTTCAAACTGACCAACCAATGGATACAGAATTGCATCCTTATCTTCCATGTGGCATGTCAGCATCTTGCACAGGGAAATGTTTTATCCTGAATAGAAAATATTAGTCGAATATAGCAAATGCTTTATTATAATGTTAGTGTAATTTATTTAGTTTTTATTGCTCTGCTTTGAGTAGTGCTGTTGGAGTACCGCTTGCCCTTGAGGTGCCTGGTGTTCATGGCCAGTGTACCTCCTCCCTACCTCTTACCTGGAGGGTGCTGCAGCCTGGGTTTCTACAAATGTGGGAGGCCAATGGGTACAGAAATATCAATAATGAAATGCTGAAGTCTCAGGTATCACCTGAGACAGCTGAAATGGTGAAAGAGGGAAGTAAATCACTTTTTTCTTCCTAAAGAGGGGGAGAGCAAAAGAGTTTCAATCTATTTGGAGTCTATCTTGTACACTCTGCAAATTAACCGCATGCAATAAAATTAAGAGCTAACGTATTTCAGTTGCAGGTTAAAAAGAAAAAATAAATTTTCTATCACAGACTCTTTAGATTTAACATGAATTATCATAGGGTTCTGTTTTTCCTTTGCATAGACAACATCAGCAAATCGGACCAAGTATTACGTGTCTTACCGTCGCAATGGCTTTGTGCAGATGAAGTTGCCAAAATATGCATTGCCAAAAGTAAGTAATACACACTTTTCTTTCTATTTATATATTTGTTTTCTTCTCTTTCTACCTAACTAGTTTTGTTCTTTTCTTTTTTAAATCTCGTTATTCTGAGACGACAATTTCTCCTTGTAAGGATTTCTGAATCCTGTTTGTGATATATTCTGACCCTACGGTTTCAATTTTTATTCTAGGAATGTAGCAGCTCATAGACCAAAGAGGGCAAGAACACACAAAAGCTTATTTGTCATCAGTTACCGCAATAGTTTTTGAGCTTTGCTTCCATGAAGCAGCGCTACACACCTAATGGCAATGTAATGATACTGAGCGAGTGTTCTTTCAAGAATCAATTACGGTTTAATTCCACATGGTGCTTTCTGGTATAAGCATGAAAAGTAATATAAAATAATTTTACCAGTTGGTGCTGCTCTATTTCATTAAAAAATCCCAATATGAACTTTAATTACTTAACAGAATGGCAAGGCTTGTTGAGAGATTCCTTCACTCCAGCATGTTTTTATAGTGACAGGGTTTCTATATTTGCATAGTAAATTAGCAATAAAGTGCAGGCAGATATTTGCATACGGTCTAACTGATGTAATTGGATTTTTGTGCTGCACTTAATGTGTTTCATAACTTTATGTATAGTTGCAAGGCATCTACAATCCTGAAGAAAAATGACTTGGAGGTTTTAAAGACCCGACTGGATAAAGCCCTGAGTAACCTGCTCTGGCCTCACGGCTCACGCTGCTGCCAGCAGGATGTCAGTCTGGAGACCTCCTGAGGTCTCTGTCTTTTCATGTGATCCTATATGATTCTGTCACTTACTTAGGAGAGAACTAAGACATGTTATTTTTACATCTCTTGAAATGCACAGATTTAATTTATTGGTCATCTAATCAAAGACAGTGGAGTACAATGTATTTCCTTCTTTCGATGTTATTCTTCTAAAACGAAGAATGTGCTTAATGTTTTTTCATCTTTGAGGTTTGTTTTAGTTTGTTTTTTGTTGTTGTTGTTTTTTCTTGATCTAAGCCATGGTCTGTAGTCTTTCTAGTTTTAAATATACAACATGTTAACAAAAACCTCGTATTGAATCCTGCAGTTATTATTTGGGATATACTCCCAGTAGTGCTATGGAAATAGCATTTATTTATCTATTTTGACAATGAATGTATAGCCAAGGACAGGTAACTATATCAAAGCTTCCACATAATTATTCAATGTTTTTAAGGCCTTCAATATAGCTTTTATGCTTTCTTGGGAAAATTTCTAATTAGAAAAACAACAGGAGAATATCCAGTTCTAAATGTTGAAGCACGCCAGATGTACACACACTGAGAGACTCCATCCCTTGGGCAACTCCTGTTGGGGCAGGGATACCCCAATGGACTGCAGCCCATGGGTAACCCATGCTGGGGCAGAAGAAAACAAGCAAGGAGCAAGAGAGGAAGGCAAAGAATAAGCAAGGAGCAACAGAAAGAAACCTTTCCGCAGATGACTCCAACCTCCTGCACAGCCCATTGCCTCACTGAAGTAATTGGGAGGAACTGAATTAACACAAGGTGGAAACACAGGACTTGAGAATAGGGAGGGGGGAGAAGAGGCGTTTGATTAAGACAGTCCTGGAGAGAGGAGAATAAGGATGTTACCCTAGAAACACAGGACTTGAGAATAGGAAGGGGGGAGAAGAGGCGTTTGATTAAGACAATCCTGGAGAGAGGAGAATAAGGATGTTACCCTAAATGTTTATTTATGGTATTTTTTCAAATACCCAAATCAGTAATTAAAAGTGTATGTTAGCTGGCCATAAATTAAATCAGGTAAAGTTCATCAAGTTGTGAATGTTCTACTTGAGGCAAATTTGCTGAAAAAGTGTCAGCACATTAGTACAGATGGTTGACTATGTTAACTTCTGTGGCAAAAAGCTGACTGTTGGGAAATGGAAGGGCAGAAATGTTTTGAGAGAGACCTGGGCATTCCTTCTGCTTCTGGATGGCCTGTGCAGGAATCCGTACCTTTCCATTGCAGTTTCCTTCTCACTCCCAGTAACCTGCTGTATTTGGTCAATGCAGCACTGTTTGTCCTTCCTGCTACTGCCATCACACATAGGATGGACATACTAACTCAAATTTTAAAGTCTTGCACATAGTGTTATGGTTATAGACAGTAGTACGTATTCCATGTGTGGATGACTACTTCAAGCATTCAGGAAAGTGATTTTATTTTTAAAAAGTTGGGTGTGTACTATACCTCCTTAATGACACATGCCTCTGTTTTAAATATCAATATTGCTTTACACTATATTAATAAAAGGCATGTTATTAGGGTTCAAATCTAGCTGACACATCTCAATAAATGGGTGGAGGCTGTCAGAACTCAAGCACTATATGAGTTTTAAGTAGTGTCCTATATATGTCACTATATTGTCCAGTTCTAGTAGGCATCCATATTTATAACAGGTGAGCTTGCATAGGTTGTGAAGAACAGCAAATCAAGTGTTATGGGAGGCTGGAGACATGGCACAGTAGAAGACCTAGATCTGTGTCCCATGGAGCTTTCCTTGGCAGCAACAACAGTTTAAGAAGTCTCCACCAGTCATTCATTTCTACTACTCTTCTGCAGTCCACTGTGACCTGTGTTGTGTTTGCAGGATTGCACTATAAATGAGTGCAGTTATAATATCAGTGCAGCAATCTCAGTCAAAAATTACCCTGAAAAAAGTATAATTTGTTTTTCAAAAAGGCAGATCAAGAGGCAACTTGATTGTCATGAAGAAGCCTCCTTATGGGGAGAAAATACAGAGTCTTAAAAGTGCTTTAGTAGAGAAAGACCCACCACACCTGGGAGCTGAACCCAAATTAGAAACTGAGCTCACCTTCTTAATGGTGTTAATGATTATGTGTTTGAAAAAGTGCCAAAGAAAGCGACAGATATTCTAGGTTTTGAGGTTTTCAAATCATAACTGAGTACCCTTCTGGGAGATTTGTTCTGACCATATAGAAGCTATTTGCTTCTTGTGCATCTTATAAAATATGCAGAAATAATTTTTGGAAATTCTCTGGTTGGAAAGATAGCAGGAAGTGAACTAAAGGATCTGATCATCACTTTTAACCTTATAATCCACTAATCTGCAAAGGGTGCTTAGTTTACTGGGCATGTGCTGTTACTGAGTGCATATCTGATACATTCAAAAAGTGCCAGTCATAACTCTCTAGTATTTCTGTCATATGTAGTCTGGATTGTTTGAATGCTGAATTCTTTGTCTTGGAAAATACGGTTTTTGTTTATTTGTCTTTTTTTTTTTTTTCCTTTCTAAGCAGATTAACTCCAGGCTTGACTGAATAAATAAATTAGAAGTTAATGGTTTTATTTTGGATAGAGTCAATAGCAAGCTAGGAACAGGATGACTGTGTCATTTGGAAAAGGATGTTTTTGTGTTCTTCCTAGTTCAGGCAGTACCCGATGAGTGGAACAACAAAAACTGTATCTCTTTAGCATTTTGGTAATGCCTCCAAGAGAAGTTTCTTGGATATCTGCACACAACAGAGCTGAAAATTTCACTAAGAGAGCCTGGAAGCCAGACATTCATTAGAACAGTGGTGAATGTGAGAGATTTTAACCTTTTCTGTAAAAAATATTTTTTTTTGAAGTGATTTAGTACTTTCACATTACAGCAGAAATTGTAGATGCTGAAGTAAATAAGAACACAATTATGAAATTTTTCACCACACCATAGCTCAGTGAAAATCATCTGAGTGCAATAGAAATGTATCTTCCAATGCGGTTTGAACAGAAGGAAAAAAATTAATGTGAACAAACTACTGATGAAATTTGGCAAAGAAGCAGGATATCAGCAAAGACACTGGCACATTAAGAGTACATCTAGAACACGTGACTGTGGACTTGCTACTTTTGTGGTGGTAGGAGATAAACAGAATGAAAGAATTTACAAAGAATTTGTTTTCTATATTTGATTAAAAACAATAGCTTTTGAAAGAAGTGAGTTTCAGGATTTTTTAAGTGTTAGATTCTGCCTAACCAAGAGATTAAATGGGTCTGAAATAGGCCATATTTAATTTTTCTCAAAAGAATTGAATGAGACTTCAAAAAGTCTCTTTCCAAGTGGTCTCTAAAGTTCTTTGTGTCATGGGCCAGAGTTTTTGAGCAGTGATTGTATACAGGGAAAGGAAAACTGTAGCGAAGTCAGAAGATACTACAGGCTGGCCAAGGATGGGTCTAACAACATTAGGAGAGCTGTGCTAGAAAACCAGGCTCTAGCCTGAGGGCATAAAGCTGGGCTCTTCAGATATTATTCTTTTGCAGCATGAATGTGTTTCACAGTTATTTTATATATGGAGATAGAATGAATGTTTTCAGACTGACTAATTACAAATGTTATTGATGTCTCATTTTCCTTTCTGTATGAAGAGGCCGAAAATCTGCAAGAAATTATTCAATTTCTTTATATTGTTTGTATTTGCATTCGTGTTTGTATTTGTCCAAATGTACCCCCAAAGAGAAGCCTAGAAAAGGATAAATGTTTGGTTTTGGACATATCTCAAGGCCTCCTTACTTGTGAATCAAAGGCTACTAAAAGCAACTTCCAGCCCAGCTTTACACGTGCTAAGTTTCTAGGCTCCAGCTCCACACATCACCTTTTTGTAGCACATCACAGCACCATGTATATACAGAGAGCGGAGCTGTTGGGGGCCATTGAATGAACAGAATTCAGATTTTTTTTTTTTAGCTTTTTTCCCTGCTCTTGAGAGATTTTGTTTTAGTAGTGTGTTTGATACTGACACTACACTGAATCACACAACTGTCTCCTGCATTTGAACAGGAGTCAAGTGCTGGCTACTGCCAGGCAGGGTGGTAGCAAAGGTTGGTGAGACCATATTAAAGACTGTCTATATGCTGTCCGAAACAAAAGAGGAGATTTGCAGCAATTGTTTTAAAACTGAATTGACTTTTATATTATATTCCACTTCACCAATGTTGCTTGTTCTCTGCTG